TTCCTGCTAAGCGATCGTAAAACGTGGGTTATGCATTTATGGCCCCAGCACCCACCCATCCAGCCATTGCTGCTGCCGAGCAACTTTTCCAACCTGGCTGGGTGCGGTTTAATCCGAGACCACCAAAGAGATCATGGCGCACTTATTTAATCTGCTCAGTTGGGTGCAAATTGTTTCTTAAGCGGGTAGCTGACCTCAGCATACCTTCGCTAGCTGCTTAGTGGGTAAGCGGATAATCCTTGGCATCGCTGCTTGGCGGGATTAGCATATCATTTTGAGTGAAAATCCAAGTAGACCAGCTAGAAGCTTTGTCTGTTTGTTTGACTGTTGTTGGTAATCGTGGAAAAGTCAAAGGCAAAAGCCAAATGAAACAACAAAAAATTAAAACGAACGAAGACAAACACAAAACTTGCACTACCTGTTTACCGACTACCTGGTTTTCGAGTTCGGGATCCCTTTCTGAAACCGGCTCAAGTTCTTCTACCTTGTGCCCAGGGATTAAAGTGCGTTGTTTGGTGGGCATGTTGTGCTAATCAATTGATTAGCGCAGCTTTGGGGATCGCTATGGGAGTGAGCGATAATGCCATGGAAACCGATGCACCAGATATTAGATCCTGCACAGGGCCAAGCTGATGTTTCCTGCTCAACGAACATCGCAAATGCCTTAAAGCAGGCGAGAGATAAGCGATGGGAGTAGGCAGCGAGAGAAGAGATAACATAAAATAATATATATATATTTATATAAATATTTATATATATATTATATATATCAATTATATATATATCATGAAATGAAAATATGTGTTAACTATGTGTAGGAAATCTATGAACATTCTATGCAGTTGTGTTCATAAAAATAGTAGTGCAAACATAAGCCAAGTGAAAAGCTGATTTTCAATAAAGAATTAAAAATATGTCAATTTTTAGCTAAAAACGGAAAGAAGGGAATTATAAAGAAATAAAGTTTGGTTTGTTCAGAACTAATTAGTTTCTGATGTTTTGTGATGCATTAAATATCAAATGTTCATAGAAATAGTAGTGCTAGATTAATAAATAAAAAATAGCCAATTTTGAGCTAGAAATATGAGTAAAAAAAGGGAATTATAAATAAATAACGTTAATTTTGCTTAGAACTGTCATGTTAAGACTCGGAAATACATAAAAATAGTAGAGCAGGATTAATAAATAACAGTAATAAATAAAAAATACGTTCCTTAGGAAGTGTAAGAAATGTATGTAATGTAAATGTATTTTACAAATTTCAAATTTATTTAAATTGCAAAATATATATATATATATATATATATATATATATATATATATATGTATATATATATATATATATATATATATATATATATATATTTATATATATCTTTTTATTTATTTGCAGTTGTGCTGCACCACACAAAGCTCAACTAAAACGAGTTTTTCCCATCAAAAAATAAAAACATGCCAATTTTTTGATTTAAAAAGAAATGTATGAAAGAGAATTGTAAATTAATAATGTTACTTTCGGTTAAAATTAATTTGTCTCTTCTGATTTCACAGAAATTCTTTAAAACTTGAGAATTCAAAGAAATAATAGTGGATTAATAAACAAATAATTAAAATTAAATGAATAATGATTTCCCATTTTCAATGGGATCAGGGTATAAAAACGAATCCATGCTTCAAATTTATTTAAATTAAAATATAATTTATATTCAAGAACAAAACTAAAACAATTAAATAGTTTTTAGATTAAAAGTTAGCAAAACTTTTGTTAATTTTTGATTGCAGTTGATAGGAGTCGAAGTTGAGCATAGATAAGTAGTATATAAACTGGAGGTTATCATCTATAATTATTTAAAATTTTAGAAATATGCAAATAAAGAAGTGAATTTATATATATAAAACATTTTTATATGTTTAATGCAAATAGTGAAAAAGCTTAAAATAAATTAAAATCTTTCCACCTTGAATTGGAGTATAGCTGTATATTAATTCATGTTGTTGATTTGATTTTCTTTCGATATTTATTTTCCTTCTTCATCGATATTTCATCAATTTTATTTCAAACTCTACAAAATTCGACTTTTTTAAACTCTAACTTTAAGCTCTTGAATATCTCAACATGATTTATCAAAAATTAGTTAAATATTTGAGGTAGTTACAAAGCTAAGTGCAGCTATTGATCAGGGATATATATCTATATAATAGATTTCTCACTTTATCCATGGATTCACATTGGATTTATTTTCTAAACAGCAGTTGGAAAAGTTGGGCCGCAACATTGCGTATACGCAATACGCAATCAGCCGCTTATGAAGGAAAAGAATTAGGCTAAGTCTTAAATAGAAGTAGTATTTCAAAAGTTAAAATTTCACAAGACATTTAAAATTTTAGTAAGACTAATTTTGGTTAGAACCAAAAAATTTTCTTTTATCAAAAATGTTTACTATTTCTCAAATATTTTCACTTTTAGTTTTGAAAGCTGTAAAAATTAGTATTTTAATTATTATGAAATATAGTATTATAATATATTTCTTAATATTTATTTGTTTTTTTTTTCTAGTGAGAAGAGTTTTTATTATTAATAAATATAATTTATATTTATTATTTTATTTTTTTTTCAAATTTTAATTTATTTTCTAATAATTTTTACTACAATATATAATTTTACTACAATATTTCCAATATTTCTTTACTTAGTGTCATAGACGTATTACATAAATAAATAAAGGCTCATGCAAAAAACTATTTAATTGTTTATTATCTTAAAAAACGAATTGATCTATTTTTTAACCAAGAAAAAAGGATTTTATCTGGCACAGTTCGTAGTCGCTGCCAATACATGCACTACGCAGCCTGCTGCGACTTCAAAGAGACCAATGCGATTAATATACACAGGCTCACATAAGTACATATACACAAGCATACACACACACACACATACACACACACAGAGAGACACAGACGCACACAGGCTTGTAGACGCGTGTGTTAAGGGCAGTTAGAGCAAGAGCGCGAAAGCAGCTCAGCCGACTTCGTCGACGTTGTTCTTGTCGCTGTGGTGCTCTGTGGTGGTGTTTGGGCAACGCCCCTTTAAATACAGTTATTTCATTGGGCCGCGACCACAAATTTATTAGTTTTTATTGTTATTGTATTGATATTTGAATTATGCGCGCCGCATTGAGACTTTTCCCTTGGGCTTTTACACGGAGACTTATGTATGTACGTTGTTTTTTTTTTATTCAAGATATTTGGGCTCTTTAACTTTTTGTTTTGTTTTTTTGGTTTTGGGAATTTAATGTAGCATGAAAGAAATGAATTGTATTGTAATTGGAATTAAATTAATTTTTAACAATTAAATGTGTAAATAATTATTAACCAAAAATTGATATATGTCGAAATAGATTTATAATTAGCTAATTGAGTTTAATTAAGAAAAATACTTTTTTGTGTATCTTTGACCCAATAAATCAAAGCTTTCTGTACTTTTACTTAACTCATATTAGTTTTAAGAGTTCAAACTGCAAGTTCTTCGAAAGAGAAAATGTCAAAGGAATTACATACACAGCTATGTGTTACTTTTCGATATGTTATACTTTCAGTGATTTTCTCAAGTTCATAGAATGCAGTTCGATATGCATAGACAAACCTACATGCATGCGTGCAATAAAAAGGCAAACAAAAAAACAACGAACTTTAAGTTACATATCCATATGTGCAGAGATATGTATTGAATGTTCTGCTTACCTACATACTGATATGTGTAGCATCATAACTAAGAATCAGGGTGAAGCCGTATGTGAGTTTCAAGCAAAAATACTTATGAGTAAGGCTCGCCCAATTGCTTTGACACACAAACCCACACATAGAAATTAAAACAAAACGCCTATACGGGCGCTGGTAGAGCTAACAACAACATTACAATGCACATACACCCATACAGATGCGCGCGCGCGCTCACACGCACGCACACACTGACACACTTGAGAAGAGTGTGCGCGCGAATGGGAGCGAGCTAATGGACGAGCGTGCGAGCGAGCGAGATGAAGAGCGAACGTTGTGTCGATGCATACAGCGGGCAAGCGCGGAGGAAACAACCACCAAGCAAGTTGAAGGCGCATGTTGCTGCTGATAGAAGAGCACAGCACGAGTCGCTGCTGGCGTCGCTGTCGCTGCCTGCTGCCGTCATCACTGATTCGTTTTGTACGTTGTTAGACTCTCTCGCTGCGTTTTGAATTCAGTCGACAACGATAATTACCGGTGGTTGTATCTCGAGCGCTGCGACTGAGGCCAAGAAGACCGAACTGACCAAAACAAGCAACGAAGCCCGCGCTCGCGTTTCTCGTCTATCAACCAAAATACGAACGCAGCAGCAACAACAACGAACAACAGTTTCACCAATTGAGTGAGCAGTGAGTGTGTGTACGAGAAATATAACGAAACGAAATTCGAATTTGTTGTGCCCGGTTACTTGTGGGTTGCCACTGAACGCAAATTATTATTAACTATAGCGGCGACTTCGATGTCAGCGCACTGTGCAATTATTAAAGAGAAAACAACAATAACAACAAGAACAAGAACAGTAGCAGCAGCAGCAGCAGCAGCAGCAGTAGCTGCGTCAGCTACATCACACACAGAACACAAACAGCAAGAAATTATTGCAGAGTTGGCGATCAGCGCATTAAGGCTATAATTATTTGAACGCATACGCGTATGTGTTTGGTACACCCTATAAAACAATACAAGTGAAAAGCGTGCCATAATTATAACAACAGCAACAACAGCAGCAGTAGCAGCGGCAGCATCAGAAGCCAAAACGAGGGCAGTCTAATAACAATAATCAAAAACGCAAACAAAATCAATAAACGGCAATGTGCGAAAATTGCTAAAAACAAAAAAGGAAAAAGCAAAGAAAAGGAAAAGGAAAAACAAAACAAAACAAAACACATCAGCAGTCAGCTAAATCAGCAACACCAATAACGACAGCAGCCATTAAAATTGCCAACATGATTGACGCCACCTGCAATTATTTGAATCCCTATACACTGTCTCAGCCAACAGTCATGCAGCAGCAGCAGCAGCAACAGCAGCAGCAGCAGCTGCAAATACAGCAACAACAGCATCATCAGCAGCAACAGCAACATCAGCAGCAGCAGCAGCAGCAGCAACAACAACAACAACAACAGCAGCAACAGCAACAGGAGCAACAGCAACCAAGTCATGATTTCATTAGCGCCACATTGCTGTCCGCCTCGACGTCCACCTCCGCCTCCAACTGTGACTCCAATGCCTCCTCTCCGCTGGCATTTTACGGCAAGCAGGGAAATGCATCGCCGACAGTTTCCGCAACCGCATCATCGCATCAGGTGGTGCCGCCAATGAAATTGGAAATGCAATATCCGCCGCAGGCATCATCCACGGGCAGTGCATCGCCCAACTCCAGCCTATCACAATCGGCAGCTTCCTCGGCATCGGTGTCGCCCAGCATTTTCCCATCTCCGGCGCAGTCCTTTGCATCGATATCCACTAGTCCGCCAGCCGCACCCGGCAGTGGCTCCTCCTCGGCCGCCGCTGCAGCCGTCGCAGCAGCCGCAGCCGCCGATTTGGGCGCCGCGGCCGTGGCTAGCGCCTACAGCTGGAATACGGCTGCATACACCGCGCTGCCAACAAGGTAGGTCCAACCCTCCAGCGATACACCTATCATTACTTTTTCAGGCTCTCCTTTAGCCGTTTCCTATTTTGGCCAAGTTTAACACGCTCTAATTGGTTGCCTTCGGTTTCGTTTGCTCTTCCCTTGCAGAACTCAATTTCCGTACGCGCAGTATGCAACGTATGGAAATGTGGCATCAGTTGGTGTTGCAGCGTCGGCATCGGCCGCGTGGTTTTCGCACCAGGAGCGGCTGTACCAGCCGTGGTCCTCACAGAGCTATCCGAGCTTCAATTTCGACGACATCGCCTTCCAGACACAGCTCCAGCGTCGCTCCGTTCGTTGCACCTGCCCCAACTGCACCAACGAGATGAGCGGCTTGCCCCCGATCGTCGGTCCCGACGAGCGCGGACGCAAGCAGCACATTTGCCATATACCCGGCTGTGAGCGCCTCTATGGCAAGGCCTCGCACCTGAAGACCCACCTGCGCTGGCACACGGGCGAGCGTCCGTTCCTCTGCCTGACGTGCGGCAAGCGCTTCTCGCGCTCCGACGAGCTGCAGCGCCATGGCCGCACTCACACCAACTATCGGCCATACGCCTGCCCCATTTGCTCCAAGAAGTTCTCGCGCAGCGACCACCTCAGCAAGCACAAGAAGACCCACTTCAAGGATAAGAAAACGAAAAAGGCTCTGACCGCCGAGGCCAAGGAGCAGGCGGCGGCGGCCATCAAGCAGGAGAAGTCCGAGAAGGCTCTGAACAGCAGCAAGAAGCCGCTGAAGAGCACAGCGGCTGCCACAGCGACAATGCTCGGCAGCAGTATGCAGTTCAAGCAGGAGCAGCCGGAGCCAACCAACGGCTTGGGCTATGCCCCCTACGCGAATCTCAATCAGCAATCGGCGGCCGCAGCAGCAGCAGCGGCGGCTGCTGCCGTTGCAGCCACCAATCTGCCCCCACCGCCGCCACTCTTCCAGCAGAGCGATCCCAATAGCAGCAGCAGCGCCAGCAGCTACGAGCCCTGGTGCACGGCCAATGCCAATGCCAGCGGCAGCGGCAGCGCCAGCGCCAGCAACAGCAATAATCGTGCCATGGAACAGAACCAAACTACCTCAGCGAATGCCAGACCCACATCGGGTAGTGCACCAACTATTTCCAGCAGCAGCAGCAGCAGCAACAGCAGCCACACGCAGCACTATGCGGCGCTGGCCATGCAGAGCGAGTCGCAGCTGGCCTCGGAATACGGCTTGACCATGTCCGGCCTGGCGAGCGGTGCCAGCGATAGCAGCACCAGCAGCTGCAATAACCTGAACGGCGGATACTCCGGCCTGGTTGGTCCCATGAAGTCCGATTACGTCGGCAATTATCCGGCCGAGTTTGCCAGCGGCTCCGGCTATGGCTATGCGCATCATCATGTCGCCCATGCCCATGCCCATGCACACGCCCACGCCCATGCCCACGCCCACGCCCACAATCACCATCATCATTACCACAATGCGTGGACCGCCGCCTATCATCCGCATGCCACCGCCTAGACATGAGGACATCGTTGCGGCCGGGTACCTTAACTTAATCCTTGTTGTTGTGTTGGTTCAATTGAAAAAAACTAAAATCGACCGAATATTTTACAATATATATATATATATATATATACATATTAATATATATATATATATATATCAATAATATTTTTTTCGATTTTTTTTGTTTTGATATAGTGCGAAGTATTATAAAACAGCCATAATCCTGCATATATGCAGACCTAATTAATATACACACATATACATATACACACATGCATATATATATATATATATATATATACATACATATATATATTGTGGTATGAACACCCTAAGAACTCATTCTAATCAATCCCGAAGTGTACGCAGCTCGAAGATATCCCTAAGTATTTTGTCTCGCTAGTGACCTAAATTGTTGTTGTTAAGCCCGTAATAATAAACATATTTATGTATATACATACTCTCACACACACACACGGACATGTACATGTGTATGTGTGTGTTGCATAAAGCGTCGAATTCAATAATACACCTAAGAAACAACTTTTTTTTTGCCTAGGCTAAGTGACATTTTTTTTTGCATGTCTGTAAATAATCAAACTTTATCCTAAACATAAAACTATATTTGAATTATTTGTTAACTGTCTTTAAGATAAAAAAAAAACATATATATATATATATATATATATATAAATATATATATATATATATATATATATATATATATATATATATATAGAAAAGACACAAACGGAATACCGTAATAAAAAAATTTGTTTGAAATTTTAATATAATTTTTGTGTATTGGTAATTGGGTTATATATATGGGATATATAGATATATAAGTATGGCAAAGAATTTCAAGGATCGTAATTGAGGATACGATATTCGATTGATTTTGTAGATTTTTTGGCAATTGGGTTAAACAATCGAATAGGCATACGACATAAATATATAAATATATAAATATATAAATATATAAATATATAAATATATAAATATATAAATATATAAATATATAAATATATAAATATATAAATATATAAATATATAAATATATAAATATAAATATATATTTCTGGGATTCGATTCGAAAAGATTTACGATGCAGAAACGAAAGAAAACGATTTCTAGGAATTCTATAATTGAGGATACAATATTCGATCTTGAATGGATTTTCTTGTGGCATTTGGAAATTGAGCTAAATAAGAGGAAAAAAATACGACATATCTATGTGGGAAAGAAAGCAAAGAATTTCTAGTACTATAATTAAGAATACGATATACAATTTGGATACGATATTCGTCTGATGTTATAGTTTCGTTTGACAATTGGAAAGGAAAGGAAAAAGGATTTCTAGGATTATAGTTGGATATACGATATTCGATTAATGCTATCAATACATTTGATAATTGGGAAGGAAAGGAAATGGTTTCTGAGATTATAGTTAGCATATTGATTAAATATTTGGTTTCATTTGAGAAAAGGAATAGTAAAAGGAATAGTAAAATAAATAAGAATTCTCCATAGACTGCATAAGCTTCAAGAACAGCTGAATATATTATTTGGTAGGTCTCAACCTGTCGTCTGCAGTACTTAAAACTGTTAAATTTTAGAGCTATAGCTTTAAAACGTAGGCAGATTTAATTTTTCCGTAAAGTTGTTAGTCAATTAATAGAGAAGATCAGCAGCAACTTAAGCCTTAATCTTAAGTGTAGAAGATTCAGTTTTATTCAGTTATATTTTTAGGAGTAATTATTTCAAGTTTCAAGTATAAAGTATTTCCCGTTTAGCCTAGTAGGAGTATTGGGAAAACTTAATACTTTATAAGATGAGACAACCAATCAATATATAATTTAATTTTTGATTCACTTCTAGCTAATTGCTTTGCGTTGCTCAAAGTCTATATACCTTTATCACTTTATGCACGAGCATAAATCTGTATTCACATCAATTTGCTGAAACTATATTGAAATATAGTTTTCTTATGGCTCTTAAGATTCCATTTATTTTCATGCGAATCTTTAACCACTCGACAGACTTAAAGAGGATCAGATTTTGGCATTATGCAAGCCAATTTATAACAGCATAGAGCTCTATTCGAACTCTTCTTGGCCCATTTCAAATTTGAAATATTTATACCCGTTAATCATACGCAGAACGAGTTAACCTTTTCCGTCCTCCATTTTTGTGGTTTTTAGGCACACTCGTATAATTTACACAATTGAAAAAAAGTTGAGCTTTTTTGTTTAACTTACGATCGGGCTATAAATAATGAAAGTTATTCATTAAGTGAATTTCCCATACACGTAGCTAAAACACAGTCGCTGCAAAAAGTCTGTCTGCCTGCCTGAATGGGTGTGTGTGTGTTTAGTGTCTAGGAGAAAGTGCGAATTTGTGTTAGACGCTGTGCTTAGGATATTTATTGAGTGAGCTGAGGTTTTTGTCTATTTTAAATTACCTCAAAACACATATTCCAAAAATGATTGCAGCCAACAATTTATGTATGTTTTTTTATGGTTCTTCTATTCACGGGCTTAACTCAAATGCTAGAAGAAGTCTCACATATTTCATCACATCCCATAAATTGTGTCTAGGGAAACTCACGGAAAAATCGTGTTTTGTTTTTCTTTGGGTGAGAAGGTTTTTGGCTTATGAATTTATACGAAAAGTCTTCAGCTTATTGAGTAATAAGCAAATAGGAAATATATCATATATATATATACATATAATGTATATACCGTATATGTAGACAAGCCGACCCGAAAGCCCACTTAGATAACTAATTGTCTGGCAGTTGGAAAGTGTAATAAGCTGAACCCTGTGAATGACTAAATCATGTTTATGCATACGCTGAATTAGTGCTCCATGTAATATAACTTATAACAACAAATTCATGCAGACAGTGTGAATGAGCGGTAAACGAGCTGCTACGCCTGTCAGCCCCATAATTAATCATCTACAAAATTGAAATTTGTTGGGCCATTAACTAAACTAAACAAAGAAAAACAAAACAAAACAAAACAGAAAGTCAAACCTGAAAACTTTACAACTCGAAAGACAAAGCAACATCGAAACATATTCACTATGATCATTTTGAACCATTAAAGCAAAAATTATTAAAAACAATTTCTTTAATGAATACAATATTTAGATATTATTATGTATTTTGGTTTCGTTCATACAACAATATCAAAATAGATCTTTGTATAACATTTGTCGATTTTTTTTTATATTTTATTTCATCTTCCTTCTTCATTCGAGTCTAAAAAGTAAAGTGAGCCAAAAACCTATGTCTGCCAGAGGAAAATACTCTATGAAAAGTTATGATAAAAGATCTGGGAAACTTTCATATATTATAATAGAAGATTTAGAAAACTTTCATATATTGTTATATATTCAGGCAAGTAGTCATATATTATAATAAATATCTTGAAAATGTACATATAAAATAATAGAAGCACTGACTAATCTACTTACATCATAATAGAAGATCTTGAAGACATTCATTTATTATAATAAAATACCTAGATAACTTTCATATATTATAATAGTATATCTGGCAAACTTTCTTATATTATAGTAGAATATCTCTAAAATGTTCATATATTATTATAGACAGTCACCATTTCGCTGCAAATCAAATTTGAATAATCTTAAAATTCATCTAAAACAATAAAAGTTATTTCTTAAAGATCTAAGCTTTATCTATAGATGAAGTAAAGGTGGCAAGTTCTGAATATTTACATATCCAAGTTAAAGCTGGAAATGAAATAAGCTGACATAATACCTATTAAGAATCTACATCTATTACTGACTGTAGCAATACTCTGTTAGGCACATATCTTGCCAGATATCTCACAGAAATTGTGCTGTCATTAAGGCTACTGCTTAGGCTATGGAGTCTCAGCTTAATCAGTGCAGGCATAGCACACTTTTAAAACTAATATGCCCATCCGCTAGTAATATACATATTTTAAGGGCAATCTATCATACTTTCGTATATATGTCTTCGGGCTGCATATAAAGTGCCACTCGCATACGACTCGAAAACCTTCTCGGAATTTGGCGCTAACTGACACCCCATGCGTAGCATTGACACATTTAAAGGCTGTCAAGGTGCTCTTGAAGACCGTGTCACACGTACTTAGCAAACGGGAGCAGCTCAATATGCATATAGCTGGTCCTTGGGCCAGAGCGAACCGCATCGACTGACCGTGACACGCTTGTTCAAGTGGAGGGACTTGTGATCGCTCTAATTTTAATCAAACTTATAAATAATATAAATGTTATACAACCACTTGACAGTTGCCCGGCAGTTCTTTGTGTTCATCTTTCACAAAACCGAACCGCCCTTTTCCACAGAATCGGGTTTGAAGTTACAGAGAGCATCGTCCAGAGGCCGTGATCCTTACCGACGATCCTAAACCACTTCAACCTGCAGCATTAGGACTCTGCACATTTAGTTCGGATTATCGCTGCTTAGGCCACAGATCACTTCTAACCGAATACCCCTTAAAAATATTGAAGTGCCTGGGTATCATGACTCGTTGTACCAATATGAAGAGGCAAGCAGCTCAGTACTCTTATATTCCTATATTCTTATATTCTTATATTCTTATATTCTTATATTCTTATATTCTTATATTCTTATATTCTTATATTCTTATATTCTTATATTCTTATATTCTTATATTCTTAATTCTTATATTCTTATATTCTTATATTCTTATATTCTTATATTCTTATATTCTTATATTCTTATATTCTTATATTCTTATATTCTTATATTCTTATATTCTTATATTCTTATATTCTTATATTCTTATATTCTTATATTCTTATATTCTTATATTCTTATATTCTTATATTCTTATATTCTTATATTCTTATATTCTTATATTCTTATATTCTTATATTCTTATATTCTTATATTCTTATATTCTTATATTCTTATATTCTTATATTCTTATATTCTTATATTCTTATATTCTTATATTCTTATATTCTTATATTCTTATATTCTTATAT